ATGATGCCTGAGGGTCCAGTATTTGTGACAGAAGTGAGACGGCTCTGAGCGGAATTATTTTGTGGTTAAGAATAATTCTACTAAAGCAAACCCTCAGCAGCATGCTTTCCTTTTGATTTGTCAAAGCATTAGTGCATTTCTGAATATTTTCCCTTAAATCATAACATTGAGCAAGAGCAGAACTATTTTAAAACCACTGAATAGATAGATAACATAAACCTGGAAGAGGTCCTGGCAGTCCACCACTCATTTCCAGCTTTTGGAGGACATAACAGGTTATCTTGGAAAGGATATTGTTTATTTTACTCATTTTATTCATTCAAACATTTCCAGAGAAAATTACTTCATTTCTCTTTAATTTGCCACACAGTTTAGAATTCTCTGTGGCCTTGATTTGTATGTATTTTTTAACATAGCTTTATAAAGTCCATAGTTAATGAATATATTCAAGTTACCTCTTGTGTCTTTGCCTTTAATAATATATGTTTACTTGCTGAGTAAGAAAACTAAAATGACATAAGATAATAAGAAATGCCAAAAGAAAAAAAAATAAGTATTTAAGGGCTTGAAGTCTGGTGTCATATATCTATATCATAAAGGACAACAAACAATTGTTTATTGCATTGATGAAAGCTGGACTTTGTCAAGTGTTGTTAAGGCAATTCTCAATAAAGAAAGTTATTTTTACCATATCTGACAGACATTTGCTTATTAAAGGAAAACAGAGTTCCCCAAATTTAACATTTTTTATCAGTGTGTCAAGATACATAACTGTAACATTTACTTTTGACCCAATTCCCATTCAATTTTTTCTTGATACTTGCCCCCTAATTACCTACCCCTGCTCCGTAATAATTTTAATATTTGCCTTTGGTTTCCTGCTTAAAAGGAATTTAACTCTTTTTTCTTGAGTGTTTTACATATGCTGTCACTTTAATTCTCAACAACCCGAAATTTTCCATCTAGCAAAGTTAGGATTCAAAACAAACCTTCCTTGTTATTGTAGAATATTACTTTTTACATATTTTCCCTTTTAAAAACACTTTTATTTTTCACTGTTTCCCCTTCTAGCTTTGTCTCTCTAACTTTCAAATTCCAAATGTGACCCATTTGTTGTGTGCCTTTTAGTTCCTTGACGCCTACTCATTCCTGAAGTCTTCCCTACACCTCTCTCTTTAAACTGCCTTCTCCAAAGTTTCCAAAGACTAATTGCCCAAATCCTAGCTTTTTTGTTTTCCTTCATGTTTCCACGTTACTTGATGTTAGGGGTAGCAGAGGAGGTAACAAAAAAGGGATGTCCTCAGTGAGTGGCATGTTGGTAGATGTTTAACAACCTACTTTTCAATTGTAGCTGTTGCCAATTTCCAAAGTGTGAATACTCTAACATGGATGATTTTACTCTCCCAATGTGTCACTGAACATGGAGTTGGGAGGCTATGTGAACAGCGGGCTCTGGGGAGCTGCTGGGACCTGGCTTCAGCAAACCACTGCCGATCTTTTTTTGGAATGTCAGTAGGCCTTGGCTTTTGCAATATGTAGCACCCTGTTTCATTTTCCATCGTTCTGGCTCCAGTTTCTCTCCATTTTTTGTTGTTTTTATTTCATACTGTGCCCCTAATTGTAGATTTAATTGAGGATTAAATTTTTCATCCCTTTATCCTCTTCCTTAGCATTCTCCTCTACTCTCATGCCTTTTATCATTACTTTATCATGAGTGATGCTAAACCCTCCACTGCTCTCTGGAGGTCATCTCCACATTCAGTTTCTTATCAGATAGCCCCGCCTTTACTTCTTATCTTGACCTCACCCAAAAAGTACTCAGATTCCTACTATGTGCCAGACACTTCATGAAGCGTCTTGGAAACAGGACTTGGAAGTTAGTACCCATATTTTATGGATTAAAATAACCAGATAATTTGATCAATTTACTCACATTGACCCATTCAATAGGCAATGGAACGCAGATGTGAAGCCAGGTTTTGGTAGTATGATGCCAACACCCATTTCTCTTTGTTTTATACCATAGAGGTCCTCAGTTAATGGAACTATCATTTCTATCTCACACTGAATTAAAATATGCAAGTAATTTTTTGCATTTTCTTAGTTGTTATTATTTACCAAGTCCTGTTTTTTATACATTGGGCACTTGTTCAAGTACCCATCTTCCTTCTATGTTATAAACTTCTAAAAACAAGAGCCATACTCTAGTAATAATTTTATCCCTTCATGTAACAAAATCACTTATATTGGTAGGTATTCAATAATTCTTAGTTTAAAAAGTGAAATAATTATATAATGAACGACAATGTATTTTGAATATTTCCATTGTATCTGTGCTACAATAGTGCTTTTCTTCATCTGTGTTGCAAGCAACCAATGATATTATATATAGAAAATCAAATTGAGCACTGAAGAAATATTCAAGTCTAGTTTGCTGCAAAGAGGAAAAAAAATAGGATGCGAAATATGCTCATATTTTAGTACAGATCATGAAATTTACCATTTTCCTAGTGTTTTCAGCCCATTGCAATTGTATCCATTTCTAGGCCGCTTATGGCTTAGACTCTAGGGAATTTCCAATGAGTTTAGGGCAATATCCCTCCTTGCACTTCAGAGTCATTGAGGGGACCTCTGAGAAGTCTTTTTACACTTTCAGAAGTCTTAATTAGGGCCAGGATGAAGTAATCTATCCAAATTTTTCTAAATTGTAAGAGCTGGCCTCACTGTCCTGCTATGAGTACAAATTGAATAATGAGTGAGGTTATCTTGCCCTCTGCCTGAGTAGATAGATGTCTCACTGGACTTCTGAATTAGCAGTTTCCAACTCCTGCATCACCTTGGTGTATTTCCTGTTCCCTGCAGCACTAGGGCTGCTTCCTGGTTAAGAATCCCTCGGGCTTGTCTATACAGAGCAATCCACATGCAGCAGCAAGACACGGGATGCAGCGCTTTCTCCCTGAGAAGTCAGTGGGGCCGTTTAGACTGTGAAGGTATTCTGAATCTGTAGAATAGTGAACAACCAGAAAATTACCTATTTGTGATTTCTTTTTAATTTTTAAAGATATTTATTGTTGAAAGTACTACATAGGTTCTCCTTTTCCTCTCATTAACCTCTTCCAGCCCGTTCCTGTCCTCCCCTCCTCCCCGCAGACCCTCATCACCCTAGTGTCTGTGTCCACAGTTCTTAAGAGACATCGGTTTTCTGTGATACTCTGCTATCACCTTGGTACTGAAATGCTCTCAGTTGTTGTTTATTGTTAAATGTCCTCAAATACATCTTTTGTCAGACTCTGTCACTAAGGGACGTAGGTTAAAGTCTTAGAATCTTTTACATGTAAACACCATTATTTTAAACAATACATGACAAATTGAAAAATAATGTACCTGTTAGTTGAGCATCAGGGAAAATTAAGTGAATGCAACATAGAATACAGGTGTCAAAGCTTTTACAGAGGGTTACCAACTCCAGAGTAACCTGATGTCTTAGTGCTTCTTTGCATCTGAGCTGTAACAGACAAGATTGAGTCTGGCAAAAAGGCTCTATTAATGTGCCTCAACTTATCTTCCACTGCTGAGCTATTAGTGGTGGCCTGTACTTTTAGGAGGTTTGATTTCAGTCAGTGCTTAGAAAAATAGGCGAGAGAACACCTCATTCACATTCTTTCAGAGTGGTAGGTTGGTTTGGGTAAAACTTATACAGAAATTTGGGAAGATTTCTGTTGCTGCATCATGACCACCTTGATATGATATAATTTGATAATTGTCTTCCCTTCTCTACTTTGCAGAATCAAACTTTGTAAAGATATGGATGTTCATGACACCCAAGCAATGCCAGTGTGGACAAATAATTTCAAATGATCTTTTGAGCCTGATGAATGGCCTTTTGTATAGACTGACTTGAAACATAATGATACTTCTTATATAGGTCTTTCATTCTTTTAACTTACATAGTAGCATATATGGGGATATCAGAGGAGGGTGAAAAATTATATCCTAAGGCCCTACTTCATTTGCTATTACTGTCAATGGGGGCCCTATTTTAAGAAAGCAACTCTGCATAATATTTAGCTCAGTCTGTGTTCCTGCATTTTGCAAGTGATAACATTACAAATGAATTAGTTTAGTGAGCCCAAATAAGTAGCAAGTAATAAAGTTTATTTTTCAAATATTCCAATTATAACTGCATGGTTCATTTTGTTGTTTTCCTAGAGAAAATTTATTTTAAGGTGTCTGTGTGTGTGTGAGTATTATACAATTTGTCTTATTTGGTCAGCCTTTGTCTCTATTCTCTCTCAGCCTGGTTGCCCTGGTTACCATTACATATTCTCCTGTGCATGAAGATCCTCTTTGACGTGCATTTATTTCTATGGAAACAATGATGTCATTGGTATGGGTGGGTAATGAGAGAAAGCATAATGAAGTGTTGAATATTGATCTTTCTTTTGGTCATAAAATGTATTATTAAATTACATTTTTAATTAGATAATTAGATTTTTGCTTTCCCTTTGACGTGGTCATGAGGCTACATTTTCCCTTGTTTATAGACTTGCTTGAATAAAATGACTTTAAGCATTGAAATACTGCACATCTCCTTCTTATGATATGTGGTCATAATCTCAACACAGATACATATAACAGTAAAAGAATTATTATTTTAAGCTTAAAAGTGTCTCAGAGCATGAAAATATTATCTCATAACATGTTATCATCAAAATATTGCACAAATAATTTTATATTCACATCAAGGCAAGGCACAATGTATAGATGGTGGATCAAGAGGAAGTCAGACCCTGCTTGTAGTCCTTGGTTTAGAGACACAAGGCTGTCATAGGAAACTGATAGTTATTAAAACATGTTTTCTATGACATTAAGTAAGTCCATATATAATTACTATTTCATTTTCTTTTAAGTCTTAGGAGGCTTTTAAACCCTTTTTAGGCATCTGTTTCACACCCTGTTTTCCTTCCACACTACTCCAGTCTATTTTTTTTTCTTTATAGATGATGTGGAAACCTGCTTATGATTTTCTCTATACTTGGGGTGCTCACTACGGAAATAGCTACAGAGATGTGTTACAAGACCTGCAATCTGCTTTGGACAGAATGAAAAACCCTGTGACCAAACAATGGCGAGACTTAACCGGAGCTTTACTACTAGTACATTCTTTAGAGGTTTTGAGAGCAACTGCATTCTCCACTTCCGAAGAAGTATAGAAATGAAGGGTATGTCTTGTGGAGGAGGGAGAATAATAGGGGAAAATGTGTGTGTGTGTGTGTGTTTGTGTGTGTGTGTGTGTGTGAAAGAGAAAGTCCTCAGAAAAATAGTGCTTCTATTTTTCCCGTTTGAAAATATATTTCCCATGTGAAAGCACAGCAGAACACAAAATCTAAAATGGGTTTTATAACCAGACATGAATTTTTGTATCTATTTCAGATGCAAACATTGAGCTGCTTTGTTGTTGAGAAAGAAAAACCCTCTCTCCTTTTCAAAGTTACTTTTAATTTCTTTAAGTGAAAACAAATGACTATTAGCATGATCACATCACCCAATACCCAGATAAACTAGAAGCTCTCAATGTGAACCATGCCATTTTACCAGGAGGCAGACAGGGAGAGAGCAGAAGCAAACACACACTTTGTGCACAGGGCTGCAGGCTTCCTAAATCTGATCTCTTATTTCTCAGTGGAGTGTGCCAGCATTATTCCCATTTTCCATATGAAGAAACTAAGAACTGGATAGGATGCTCAGGGTTAAACGCTAGTGTGAAGTAGGATTTCTCTTTGAAAAACCTGGTTTTGTTTTTTTAAAATCTAGAATATAAGAGTAAATGCATATTAAAACTTACAGCGAAACGGTAGCTATTTCATTCTAATTAAAGCTCACTGCTCTTGTTCACCATCTCTTGACAGACTGCCAAAAAGGATGTGCGAGTTATCAGAAATCTGTTGCCTGCAAACATGGACACGAGTTTCCACCACCTTCCTCCAGCATCTTGGGACCAGCTAATCCTTGACCTTACTTCAGGATCCTAATGTAGAATAGTTCATTAAGTCTCAGGGATTTTTAATAACAGGGGTTATTTTTAAAAATAAAACCTTCCTTTATCACTGTTGAATGTAATAGTCTTAACCACTCAAAACACTGATACCTGTGTGTGTGCATGCTCACATGCTCATGCAGACACATGTGTGTGTTTATGTACCAGAGTGTTTTATAAAGATGATATAGGAATCTGGGCCAGTATAAAGGTGAACTACTGGCAGAGAGCTCAGAAATAAATGGTCTGTGCTTACTCATGGGTTCAACCCTCTGGACACCTGCCAGTATTTATATATTTTGGATGCTTATTCATTTATTGTCATTCAGTTGACAGATGGAGTGAGTGTTCCTTTTTTGTGGTAGGCACATACATTCTTGAGGTTAATAATGGGAAAATAAAACCAGCATGCTCTCTGACATCAGGATTGCCAAGTGATGGATACAGATAATAATAAAAAAAAATTATGCAGTTAAATGCAAATGGCATCTGGAATAATGGCTGCAGTGGAGAGGCTAGGATGCCAAAAGATATACTAGTATAGATAGGAGGCCATCATCTGAATCAGGGGGGTCAAGTGAGTTTTCGCTGGGAAAGGCATGATGAGCCCGAAGGAGGAGGAGGCATTGCTTCCAGTCTGGGATGGTGGAAGATGGAGTCCCTCAGACCACTGAAGCCCTCTGGAGGGAGGGAGTGCAGGCAAGGCAGGCAATGCCTGAAAGGGTGAAGGAGTAAAGGAAAGAAAGACACACCTTCAAAGGTAATGTGGACAAGCTGAATAAGGATTTTGTTTGGGATCCTGAATAAAACATGTCCATTTGGCTGAAAAGTGAAAGCAGAATCTTTTCAGAGCTTTTAATACATCCACCCTGGGGCATTTGGTATGCTGGAAAAGGTAACTTGAATTAGGGTTTCAGAACAATCTCTACGGCTTTCTATATTTATATTTGATGATAACAGTACAAAGCCTGACCAAGGAGTTACATACATACATTTAAGGATGGAATTTATTTTAGTTGAAACTAAATTCTGGGAGAGGGAAAAAATGACTTGGAAGTTCAGGACACAGTCATTGAGTGGTAATTTTGCTTTCTTTAGAACATTCTTGGAATCTTATTAACATGTCAGCAAATCAGAGAATTTTGGGAAGGAATTAATAACTGGGTTTCTCCAGGCTCCAGGGTCTGAGAAGACAGAGATTTTGTTAGCTGGTTGAGGAAGTAAGATGAAATAAGTCACTTCAGGTTTACATAGCATCATGTGTTGTGATTGTGGCTGGGAAGTTTAAGAAGAGTTTAAAAAATGAAAAACACGATCTTTGTAACTTAAGGATGAAGCGATGGTTTCAACATTAATAGACACAAAGATATTTTATAATCTTGTAATAAATCCTCTCAAATTTTAAACCCATGTCCAAACTTTCTGTTCTTATAAATATATTCTAATATTTTATAAATCATTTCTAGTTTTCTTTCCATAATGGATATCCATAATCAGAAAAGATTAGCTCAGTAATCATGAATTGCCTTTAATACCTGGCAGCAAATCAAGGGAATTAATAAAGCACTTAAATCCCATCCTTGATAACATTAAAAGCATCAAAAACAATTAATCTAAAATTTCTTCAACAATTTTGGAAGCATAGATAGTTCTTTCGTTTCCTCAGGCTTTCCCTCTAATGATGCCTCAGGATGAGATTTTAGTTCAGTGCTCAGCTTGCAACATAACAATTTTTCTGTGTACGCCGCAATCCTCTACTTCCATCTGTTAAAGCCCTAATATGAAGGCCAATTAAGGAGGTGCCTGCCACAGTGGCTCATTAACTGCTCATATCGATAACGGATACAACACATTTTTGTAGAAAATACCATATGAAGTTTTGAGCTAGGGGATGACTAGTTTCCTGGAAGGAGCAGAATGAACTACATTAATGGGTGGTGTTGATCTAAAAAAAGTTGCTGCTAGTAAACAGCTTTGACTATGTGATATGAAAATGCAATAGAGAAAGTACACTCAAAATCGTATAATACTGTAATTGGAAAATTCAAAACTTGAATTTTTATACTGCGCTCGTGTAAATTATATTTTCTTAAATTTTTGTAATGCCTAAGGAATATTTGAAGCAATTCGAAGGACAAGGAAAATAATGAAAAATTATGTTGCTGGAGGCTTTTCTAATGAAAATAGATCTTGTTTCTTCTTATACATAAAAATTCTTCCCTGCTCTCCCATATGGAGTGTTTTCTCATGTGCTGCTGTAGAGCTTAGCGAGTGATGTTCCAAGATCATATGTTGGCATTATACCAGGTGGGCTTACTCCAAAGACATTCATCAGAATAAAATAACCACCTGGAGAGTTTGTTGGCACTGACCGCTGAGCCCCACCCTCAGAATTTCTGATGGGGCAGGTCCAGGTGCCCGAGGATGGTGATGCAGATGCCTCTGGTTCAGGGACCCCAGTCAAGAACCACTACATTAATTTCCTCCATTTCTATAGGAAGAAGAGAATATTAAACTGGAAAGACATGCTTTTAGATAAACAAATTTTTGTCATCCCACCAGAGAAATAATTTTTAAGCTGTAAAAATACACACCTAAATCACATTATATAATAGCTTAATTTATTTATATAAACTGAACTTTTTCTAAATGAATTATTAAGAGCCTGAAAATAGTCATTTTGATTGTAAAACTAATTAAAATAATTAAGATCTGCCTATTTGAAATGTAAAGATATTAGAATAAAATAGATTAAGAATTTGAGACATTTATCAGTGTATTAAGATGATTTTGCAAATATATTCAATGATTTTGTTTCTATAAAATATTTTTGGAGAAAGTCTTCTTTTCAGTGATTTGTCATTTGTTAAATTTCATGTTGAATTAATTTTTCCCCATTGAAAAATATATTTATAACTAATGTGATCAGCTTAATTATGCCTTACTTTCATTGTAGAATTACAAAGGATTACAGGCACTTGCTAAAAAGACAGTCAGGTATTCTCTCTCCAATGAGTAGTTCCACTTTTAAAAGGATAGTGACTCTGAGGAGGGGTGATGAGCTGAATAACCTCACATTGACCTTAATGTATTATATCTCATTTTCCTTCTATAGTACTCTTTTTGGTTATTCTTCTGGGGTGAGTAGGAGGATCTGTGGCTTCTTCCTTTCTGTTCTGAGACATTTGAGACCACCAGGAAGCAGACTTTAATTGTTTCTAATATTTAAGTTCAGACTTGTACCTTTGGAATGTACTGAGACATTTAATATATTCATATAAATATATGACTAGTAGTTGAAAATCAAAATTTAGTCACGATGAAGTTACTAGTTTTACTTATACTGATTCTACCAAATTCAGTGTTATAAGGAGTATCTGAGATTGGCAAGTTCCATGTAATGTTGACTGTATGCATGTTAAGTTTTAATGATATGCACTTAGTTACTACACTTTGTCATAGTCAGAAAATCCATTCTGTTGGATTTTACTCCCAGAAAATATGATTCAGTGCTCACCCAGGCCTCTTACTTCATGGTGGAAAGTGAGGAAAGTGTGAGGGGAGAGATAGCAGAGAACTTGATTATGGTCTAATGCTCTAATGAAAGAAGACTATCCAGAGACAATGGGAACATTGTCTTCCTCTCTTTGTGCTGATCTTCTTAGAAATGGAATATATATTTTACTTTTTCTCCTTAACTAATCAATAATAAGATACAAAATAACTGTTGCTTTGTTTTCTCCAGGATTGATTTAATGCAACTTAAGGCTGCTCTTTAAAACTACGAAGAAACTTCAGTTAGAGCAACCTCAGCAACCCTATGCTGAGACTCACTGAGCAGTTCTCCGGAGCCGGTGTCAGAGAACCCATTTCAAATCAGCTTCAGCACAAAGAATGTATTGTCCCTCCCAACTGAAAACTCCAGGGGTAGTCTCAGGAATTCCAGGACTTGGGGGAGTAATCAAATTGCTTGTTTGGGTTTCCCCCTCCCCCTTTCTCTGCCTTTAATTACATGTTTCACCCTCAGGCCCCACAAAGCAGCCCAGCAGTTCTGTGTTCTCTTTATGGGCAGGATGCTGCGGCAGCTCAGCCTCACCTTTCCCACTGTTCCAGTCTCAGGTGTCATGGCTTTGTAATGTGTCACCTTGGCCAAACTAAACGATGTTTCCCAGAGTTCTGTTCTCTCCACTGAATATTCTGGTTAGAGTTTGCCTCAAGAGAAATCCTTGGAAGATCTGGATGGTCACAGTGGAACAGTAGCCATTGTGACTCCTGGAAGGTAGAGGTGGGTCAGGCCCCATTGCAGCCGCTGACTCAGCTTGTCAGCCGGGGAGGCAGCTGCCGGGCCTGCAGGCCCAGTTTCCCTAGGTTCTCGGCCTTTCCCTTCCCCAAATCCTGGCCACGTGTGGGTGTGAGTCTGCAGCAGAGCACCACTTCTGTGGGTTATCCACAGCAGCTGGGTTGCAGGCTTGGCGCCTGGGAGGGACCAACATGGGTGTCAGTGGCTGACAAATGCAGATTCTAGTTGTCCCTGCTCTTCCCAAGCCCACGCCCATTTTTCCTTCACTCAAGCAGACCTATAACTTCCGGCTCAGTGCCAGAAACAAAAGAAAAAACCAGGTAATGTGTCTGGTCAAATCATTGTGATAAATCCTATTGTACATCATTGCCAGAGACTCAGCTTTTCCGAATGAACCCTGATTGATAGGTAGGGCAAGAGACTATTTCCTTATAACTCAAAAAAAGAGTCCCTATGATTGAACCATTTAGGCTTTGTGTTGATCCCTCCGCCAATCACTGAGGGCTGTAATCAGTGGCTCTCTGATTGGTCAGATCTGGGTCACATGCTCTTTCCTTCTAACCCTGTCCAGACCACCAGGTCTAATCAAGATCTGTTCCTGGAAATGGGAAGAGATGGATATTGGGGAGACCAACAGCAATTTTCCACTAAAAATGTGAGTGAGTTTAAACTCAACACTATTTTCTGTGTTAGGAAACCTTTATGCTTCACGTGTAATTCAAGAAACTAGTCATATGAGTCCTTATGAGCGTGGGCAATGGGCCAGCTTCTACAAACTTCTGCAATAAATCAAACACTAGCTAAATGGAACTTGACCAGCAGTATCTGCATTCTATAAACCATTAATAAGTTGCTGATGACATGACAGAGCCATTTAAAACCCTGTCAAGACTATGGGTTCACCTGGCCCAGTAGGCCCAGGGACAGATATCCTTAATTGCACACTCTCAAGCAGGACCCATAACCTGGTAGATGCACCTCACCTGCTGCCCAAAGAAATTGGGAGAGAGGGATAGAGGAGGAGGCTCCCGATGAGAAAATTGTAGTTAAGATCGCAGGGCATGACCAGCCAGTGAAAAACAGCAGGGAAAACTTCTTTGAACATTCTCTGAATGGAATTACAAAAGCAGGTATTTCTGTCCTTCTCAGCCACCTGATTTTTCATTGCAGACCTGTACCTCCCCTTTTGAATCTGTAATAACTTCTAAATACCGTCCAAGGAGGAAGGGGCATGGTAATATGAGCGAAAGGAATTTGATGATTCTTAAGACAGTGAAAAATGGGGCAAAATGAAAGGGGCATACAAAGATGGCGTGCATTTTCTTTCTTAAAACAATGTTTGTTTAATGTTCATTTGGTTATATTCACAATTTACTCCGTGTGGAGGAATGCTCTTCAGGAGGTACTATTATGTTTTTTAGGGTTGAGTGGAATGCTGTGGGTTGTGACAAATAAAAGATTAGTGATCAAGGTTATTCATGAGAAGAGGAGGGAAGAACACTTGATGTTACACTCCTAAAGCTGTTTTCAATGCTCTCATGGATAGTTGAAACAAAAAAAAATCTGAAGTCCTCCTTTCACTCTCTTAGAGAACCTTTCTATTCCCCCCCCCCCCCCCCAATTTGATTGCCAAGAAGATTGCTGTGTGCTTAGGGATATGAGTCCAAGTTCAGATGTGAGAGCTGCAAACCAACTGTGAGAAATTAAGCCACCTGTTCTGGCCTGCTGCCTCGAGCAAGGTTCCCAGTCTGTCCTTAATGAGAGCGCTGTAAAGCCCTTAGTATGTTGTGTTTATCTACTAGAAAAGGTGTATTAATTTGCCAGGGCTGCCACAACACAATACCACAGACTGGATGGCTTACACAACAGAGACTTATTTTCTTCAAGGCCAAGAGCAAAGTTGTGTCAAGGTTGGTTTCTCCTGAGGGCATGAGGGGAGGATGTGTTCCAGGCCTCTCGGCTTGTGATGGTAATCTCCCTGTGTCTTCACGTGTTTTTTTTACCTCCTGCCTGAGTCTGTGTCCCAATCTTCTCTTCTTTAAGGGCACCAGTCATGATTAAGACCCACCCTAGTGACCTCATTTTAACTTAATTACCTCTTGAAAGTTGCTATCTCCAAATACAGTCATATTCCTAGCTTCTGGAGGTTAGTATTAAAACACATGATAATTCAGCCCATAAGAAAAATGATTTGGTCAATTTTTGTTTCTTTTTATTTACTGAAATCAACTACTTTGTTCAAATGACTTTTGAACAATCCTGCAAAGAGCTTTTTTGAGTTTCCTTCTCTAGCACAGGCAACTAACTCATAGATGCCAGAGAAGTGGTAGGTGTTTCAGACCCACGTAATGAGCAGAATTGCAGACAGCTGGAACTCTCTCACTACATCAGTGGTTCTCAACCTTGGCTGCACATTAGAATCACCTGGGAATCTTTTTAAAATCCTGATTTCTGGGCCTCATCCTCTGGAAATTCTGTTTCTTTGTTATGGGGTGTGGCCACAACATTAGTAACAAAGAACCAGAATTTCCGGAGGATGAGGCCCAGAAATCACGATTTTAAAAAGATTCCCAGGTGATTCTAATGTGCAGCCATGGTTGAGAACCACTGCACTACATTGTCCTCTGGCCTCAGGCAAGCTATATCATTAAACTCTGCTTATTAGAACTAATGAAAACTACTGGTATAGATAATATGCACTGGTAGATAATTTCCTCTGGGTCTTCTTTGTTGTCACTATGGGATCTCAGTGCTGTGGATAAAGAATGCTCTTTCTACAGGTGGGAAACTATGAAGACAGTCTAAGAACAGACTAGGTGTCCTCGGTAGGGATTATGACACGAACCTGGACCCCTTTATAAATTTGTTTATATTTTATTGACCACTGAAATGCCTGGGATTATCATCTGCTACTGAGACAACCAAAACAATGGAAGGCTTAGATCATGCAGATCACACTGGGCAAATCTAGGAAATGTGTCTTAGGGGGTCGGCAGAGGGTGGAGGAGTGTCTCGGAGAAAGGCAGAATTTGTTTGACTCTGAGTGAGGCAAGCAGATTATTCAGAACAAGGATGTGAGAGAAGAGGCAGCAAAACCTGTGACTGGGAGCTGCAATTTGAGAGAGAAGGCTAAAAAGTCTTCCCCAGTGGTCATATTTTAGGTTCTTTAGTGCAAGTAGGGTAAGCAACCTTTCTCAATTTACTGGGACAGAGGGATTTCCTGAGACTTGAAAGCCACTGTTAAAAATAAAACTGGGAATGAGAACACTTTAAATCATTATCATGCTTTTTGCACTGTCGCTCAAAAGGGATTTGGGATATTTTTATAGGTGAAGGGAGTTATGGAAACTATCATAACAAGAATGTGTCACAGATTTGAAGACCGACTATTTTGAGGAAAGGGCAAAAACTTAAATATAAGGTGCAAAAGTTGATAGGGAGATATACTAAGAACAAACCCTGC